ATTTGGTCTGTATGAGCCACTAACACTAGGCAAGTTTGTGCTAGCAGGAGCTGAACTATGCAACTTCTCTCTCTTTCTTTAATTTGATTTATGGAAATCTGCCCTCCTATTGGTCACTATATAGAGCTGTTCCTCTTCCCACTAGTTATTTTTGGACGTTTGTGTCCAAGGAAGGTGCATGAAGACCTGGCTCTGCTAGATGGGGGAACTTCATATTGGAGGAGGTTAATTAAATTGAACCCCACCTCACCCCCCATGTGTCCAGCACCCCTCTTTGCCATCTTGTGTCCATGATTTTATCTGTTCATGGGGGGGGGGGGTTGGTGTGTTTTTAATGATGTATGGTTTTAATGTTTTTCAATCTTTCTATGTTGTAAGCCACTCAGAATCATTGGATACGAGATGGCCAGGCAAATAAATTTTATAAACAAACAAATAAATAAAGCCTTGCTGTGTTTTATGAGTTAGAGCAAGCAATATCTGGTCAGGAAGACTAGTGAACAATTGGTCTTTCCCCCTCCAATGGTGGACCAGTAAAACCAATCCTCCTCTTCCTCTTCCTCTTCCTCCTCCTCCTCCTCCACACTTCCCCTTCTAGGCAAGTGTCAGAAAAAAAGACATAATTATGGTGTACAGTATGTGTATGCTTTTCTCAGTTAACCTGCTGGATGGAGAAACATCCAGTATGAGGGGAAACAACTGAAGATGGCTCCAACAATTGAATCCATGGGTTCCCAAAGAAAAGTCCATGAAAATAATTGCTTTCCCAACACAGGTGATGGTCAACATTATTGCCAGAACAGAACAAAACAGAAGCAAAGTTGGAAGGAACCTTGGAGGTCTTCTAGTCCAACCCCCTGTTCAAGCAGGAGATCTATATCATTCCGAAAAAATGGCTGTCCAATCTCTTCTTTAAAACTGTCAATAATGGAAGATGGAAGGAAGAAAAAAAGATGATCTTGACCATAGTTCCTTAAGATATCTTCTGTTCCAGTTGATGTGAACAGCAAAAACAGTTGCTTAAGACTGCCATATAGAAGAATATTTGATGTCCATATAAGAAGAGATAAAACCTTTATTCCAATTTTTCCTGCTCCTTGGTCATTCCAACTTGCCATGTAACTGTTTCTTTGCCAAGTCAACTTCCCCTTTTTAAAAAAACTATAAATCTGAAGGTTGTTTCAATCCTCCAAAGTGTCTCTAAACCACAGGAGATTGTTCGTAATGGTTCATGGTACTTCACAAGCTTCACATTCAGCACCAAGAGTGTTTAATTTCAAGAGACAGACGCTCTAATTCAATGTTTTTCAACCTCGGCAACGTTAAGATAGGTGTATTTCCATTCCCAGAATTTTCCACCCAGCTTGAGAAATAATGCTCTAATTCAGTCTATGTTTATAATTCAACCAAGGTTAGGTGATCATCCAGAAATATGATTGTCAACATTGTACAAATAACTTCTAAACCAGCGGTTCTCAACCTATGGGTCACAACCCCATTTGGGGTCGATCGACCATTTCACGGGGGTCGCCAAGCAAGGCTGTCCGCCATTTTTTCCCCTTTTCCGGCGGGTGCCTTACCTCCCTTGGACTGGGCCAGTTGGTGGTCGGCCTGCTCCGTCTCTGCCGCTTGCCAGCTACGCCTCGGCCAGCGCAGGGGGCGGAACCACGCTTGCACGGCGCTCCCGGGCAGGGAAAGTCCTCGACTTACGACTGGTTGGGTAGTCCTCGACTTATGACTGGTTTAATCCTCGACTTACGACCGGTTTAGTCCTCGACTTACAACCGGTTGGGGGTCGCGGCATTAAAAAGGTTGAGAACCACTGTTCTAAACCCTATTACTTATAAACAGTCCTAATCACTGGCAACTCCCTGGTTTCCTAATATAGCATAACTCCAACAGGAAACAAACCACTTTATATGTCATGCTTGAATTCAGAAGATGGATCTTTACGCAAGAAAAGGGGGAATAGTTGTGAGAGGCTAAGAAAGCATTTACATCTATAAGAACTAAATCCCATGAATCAGGACAGCTCAGTCTGGATAAACTGCAAAGACTGGAGCCTAAGGTAGGCTTTATGGTGAAGAGGATAGCTATTCTTTAGATAATGTTCCTCAACTGCAACAAGAAAATGGTGGACTTCAACTCTCAGAATCCCCAGCCAACATGCTGGAGTTTAAGTCCCCACATTTTAAAGTTGATAAGGTTGAGAAATGCTGCTTGAGATTTTGCTGGAAGTAGAAAAGAATGAGCATTTTTTTCTTTTATTAAGTATACATTCTTGCAATAGCAGCTTCATTTCTCAGAAAGTAATAGAGTGGGTTCAAACGTACACAGAAAACACAACCTTCAATGAAGAAATAGGTTTTTTTTCTCCAAAATATCTGAAAATTGGGGTTGCATAAGGGCACCCGGTGCTGTACATATTCAGAGACACCTATTCCTCTGTCACTGCTGGCGTGCATTATGAGCTTTGAAGCTTTTTGTCACTTATATTGATGCAGTTTGTTAATTTTGTATTTCTATCCAAATGGTTCGTACACATATAAATAATCTTGGCAACACCCAATCCTTTGATCTGGACTTTGCTGTTGTCCACTAAATAATGATCAAAGAAACCCCTAGCTATATGATATAATTGACTGCCTTGGCTCAGAATTGCATTTTGCTTTATATATTGTATTTTATGTATTGTGCTGTATTGTATATATTATACATATATAGCATTTCCATTCAAGCTCAGAGATGAGAGGAAACCGCTGCAAGATGATGCTAAAGCAAACAGATAATTAGTGCTATTATTAATGCAAAATGTTTAGCTGGAAAACATTAACAGCTGAGCCTGAGAAGAAAATCTCAAGTGGGAAATACCGCAAGCCATTCAGCAGCCCTTTTAAACCTAATTGATATGGCTGAGGTGAACTCTCTGTTACCATGGAGATTAAACCAACTGGACTTCTCGGGGTATCTAAGTTGCAGTGGAATCATCTGCCCTTTCCCAAAATGCCGTTTCTTGTCTCTGCCCACATTGAAAATGGCCTCCGTGAATATTTGTATCTGTAAAAGTAAAAGTATTACAGAACCCTTTTTTTCAAAGATGGCTGCCTACTGCCCTTTTCTAAGATGGCGGCCTTTCAAAACAAGGCAGGCACCACCTGCCCACAATCAAAATGGTGTAGTGTTTTAAGGTTTTCGAAAATGAATGGGAAGTATTCATTCCTGGAAGGATGAGACAATGACTTTTTGAGGATTGTCCTGTGATTCCCTTGAGCAAATACACTTACCATGCAAAGAGTTTGCCCTAACAAGTATGGTGCTGTCTCTTTTCCGTTAAGTGATGTGAAGGTACTACCTTGAAAGTCTTATTTGGAATCTCAAGAGGGAGGGAGACTAAGTGATGCTTACACACTGTGATAGATGATAGATGGATGGATGAATAGAGACAGACAGACAGACAGACAGATGATAGATGATAAACAGAGGGATAGATAGATGATAGATAGATAGATAGATAGATAGATAGATAGATAGATAGATAGATAGATAGATAGATAGATAGATAGATAGATAGATTGGTAGGTAGGTAGGTAGGTAGGTAGGTAGGNGCAGGAAATGGAGAAAGATCAGAGGACTTTGGTGCGGGGGCTGCACCACTTCTCTAAAACTAAACATAAGAGTTCATGGTCCCATGATTCACCTATGTAGCTGAAAAGTGTTTCAACATTTCTCCGCTGCAAATTGAAGTCCAGCCCGTCTCAATTTATGTTGGCCATATGAGGCCAGGGAAAAGAATGGGGCTCTGGGCCTTGCTCCTAAGGAGAGAGGGGCTGGAGGCAAGGCTGGATAGCCAGAGGGACGCTTGCCTGGTGTCGGATTGCAAGTGATGCCTGACGTCCTTGTTCGAACTTTGACCCAAGAACCAGCCTTCAGTATCTTCAAAGGATGAAAGCCAAGGAGTGGGAATTACAGCCACACTCGGACCTAGTCAAATGATTTTTTTAAAAAAAACCCGCCTAATGTGCATAATAAATAGTTGCATGTGATAACTATAGAAGAATAGAATAGAATAGAATAGAATAGAATAGAATAGAATAGAATAGAATAGAATAGAATAGAATAGAATAGAATAGAACCTTTATTGTCACTTTAAATCAGGGGTAGTCAACCTTGGCTCTTTTATGACTTGTGGACTTCAATTCCCAGAATTCCTGAGCCAGCATGGCTGGCTCAGGAATTCTGGGAGTTGAAGTCCAGTCATAAAAGAGCCAAGGTTGACTACCCCTGCTTTAAATGTACATTAATCAGCATACATTAAAATGAAATTTCATTGCATTCAGCTCTCAAAAAAATACCATTATGCATGTACCCCCACACACATATATATATATGACACAGAGAAACATCACAGTCTATTTGAAATGTATATGGCGAATACATGGCGAAAAAAAGAATCCTGCGAATTTACAAGACAGATAGCATAAGGAACAAAGCTGTTACAGAATCTAGTAGTTCTACTATAAATACTTCGAAACCTCCTCCTATTTACATATGTATGTATACTGAACACAGTTTTATTTATTTATTCAATTTCTACTATGCCGCCCATCTCTGAAAAGCGACTCTGAGCGGCTTGCAATTAAAATCACACACATACATACACACGCGTATTTCACTGGCAACAAAATTGTCACTTCAAAGGATTTTCCAGAACTCGAGGACTTAAAAATAACAGATGCACCTCAACCTCCTTTCGTTGCACTCTCTGCGTTACTCCTGTTTTCCGTGAGCTAAAGAGTTCATCAAACCTCTGCATCTCTATCTTTGAAATATGTTCTATTTCGGAAGCCAGTAATTTCTTTAAAGTACTCCAGTCTTTTTAAACCTTTGCATCTCCGTGGTCCGTTTTTCATCTCTGTCTTTGCTAAATGTCTTACGGGCGTCCTATCTCTACGAAGCTGAAGTCAAAGCGCGACGTGATGGGTGGAGCTTGCGCCCTTTTTCAAGATGGAGGAATCCTGCACGTGGGAAGAGGAGAACTCTGCTTCTAGCAGCGGCAGCAGCGGCAGCAGCGATGAAATGGAGGACATGGAGATGGAGAAAAAAGAGGAGAAAAAGCAAGGAAAGTCTCAAGCAGGAGCTTATGTGCCGGGAAAAGGTCCCCCACTAGCCCCTGGAGAAGAGCTGGTTATGGACGAAGGCGCATATCGACTCTACCATCGGGCAGGCACGGGTAGGAAGAAACAGGCAATTCTCACGTTAGATTGGAAACGGACGTGATCGCGGGCAAGAGGGAAAAGCAGGGCGTGTGACTCGCTAGTAATGCAAACGGAGAACTAGGGTTGGGCATTTGCTAGCAATCTAAATTTAGTTGAGGATTTTTATTTCTGCCACAAAAGGATTGGTGATAAATATATCTTATGATCCTACTGAGAAAACTGTGAAGTTTACAATATCACTTAGCTGTGGGGGTCCAAAACTGATGATAGTTTCTCCGTTGCTATGGCTTGTACGTCTGTTGGACTTCCCATAATTCCAAGATTGAGTTTTGGATTATCCTGCAAGAATTGAACTTTAGAACAGAGGTCCCCAACCTTGGCAACTTTAACACTTGTAGACTTCAACTTGAAGTCCACAAGTTTTAAAGTTGCCAAGGTTGAGAACCCCTGCTTTAGAACATCAAGGAAGGATCAAATAGGAAAAGGCAATACAGGTAATATTCGACTTACGACAGTTCATTTAGTGACTGTTCAAAGTTACAAAAGCACTGAAAAATGTGACTTATGACTGTTTTTCACAGTTACAACCTTTACAGCATCCCCATGATCATGTGATCAAAATTCAGATGCTTGGCAACTGGTTCATATTTATGACTGTTGTTATATCCCAAGATCATGTGATCACTGTTTGCAACCTTCTGACAAGCACAGTCAATGGGAAGTCCAGGTTCACTTAACCATGTAACTAACTGATCAACTGCAGTGATTTACTTAACAAGTACAGCAAGAAAGGTTATAAAGTGGGGCAAAATTCACTTAAATATTTCATTTACCAACAGAAATTTTGTGCTCAAATGTGGTCGTAAGTCAAGGACTACCTGTAATAGAAATTCTTTTTAATCCTGAAGTATCAGGCAGAGGGCCGGGTAAAGTGCCTTCCAAATGCTTTGGAATATGTAGAATCTGCATTGCAAATAGAATCACATTTTCACTGTGTTTGATAAAATGCAACCAAATGTTTGCATATTAGGAAGGAAGATGAGGTTAAGCTGTGAACAGGACAGCAAAAATGAAACATAAAAAAACTAGAGAAATGGTTCAGATAAATGAGGTCCTTCTGTTGCTATTAATTCAGGGGCGCCTTGCTTGAGCTTCGACATTTTGCATGATGCCCTTGGAGACAACCGAACTAGCTACCCACTGAGCCTTTTCCTTTGTGCGGGAACACAGGCTGAAACTGCCCAGGCGAACAGGTGAGTGCTTGGGATGGGTCAGTACAAGTAATCCTCTACTTACAACCATTACTTTAGCAACTGTTCAAAGTGACAATGGAACTGAAAAAGTGACAACCAATTCTCACAGTTACGACTGTTAACAGCTTATCCGCAGCCACTTGATAAAAATTTGGGCAACTGGCAACTGATATTTATGACGGTTGCAGTGTCATGTGATTACCATCCCAGCTGACTTCAGACAAGCAAAGTCAATGGGGAAGTTGAATTCACTAAACAACTGTATGATTCACTTAACAACTGCAGCAATTTGCTTAACAACCATGGCAAAAGATTGTAAAATTTGGATATGACTCGTTTAACAATTGCCTTGCTTAGCCACAGAAGTTCAGGTCCCAATAATGGTCCTAAGTTGAGGACTACCTGTATTGTAGGCTAAGCTGAATGATTTAAGGAAGAGAATCTTCCATAGCTTGATAACTACTAGAAGAATTTGATTTCAACTCCCATCTTGCTCAAACTGGCATGGCCCACCACTATAGGATGGAGTCTGAAATCCAGCACAATTGGGAAAGTTTGGGGAAGAAATGTGACCTAACCTTATAAATTCATTTAATAACATTTTTTCTTCCCTTCCCCCCACCCCGACAAATAATTAATCCTAATAAACCCACAGGTTGCTAGTGATGAAAATGCACAATCTCCATGGGACCAAATCAGCTTGCAAAAATTCTTCTGGGTCAGACAGTAGCAGTGAAGAGAGTGAAGATGACGATGAAGACAAGAAACCCCAGCTAGAGCTGGCCATGGTTCCCCACTATGGAGGGATTAACAGAGTGCGAGTATGGAAGGTTTCCTGCTGGTCTTTCTCATTTTTGCTCCCTTTGATATTTTCCCCTTAATGCTACCCTGTTATTTCCCCTTTTTTCCCCCATAGGTGACAGAGCTGGGCGAGACTCAGATAGCTGCGGCTTGGTCCGAGAAAGGGCAGGTGGATATATATGATCTTCAGCGTCTCTTAGTGGCTGTTTCTGACTCCCAAGCGATGGCAGTCTTCTTGCGAGAAGAGCAGGCCAAGATCAAACCCATCTTTTCATTTACTGGACATATGTCAGAGGGCTTTGCCATGGATTGGTCACCCAAGAAACCAGGTGATAAGAGGAGGGAAGAGAAGGGAAAGATGGATGTAGGAGATGAGAATGGATGAAGTCTAGTTCATGATATTTTTGATCTTGCTTCTTGTAGGCACTCTTTTGACAGGGGATTGCAATAAAAATATCCATCTGTGGACACCCAAGGAGGATGGTTCGTGGTTTATAGATCAGCGGCCGTTCACAGCCCACACAGCCTCAGTGGAAGACATACAGTGGTCCCCAAATGAAGCTACAGTAAGTTATCGATGATGTGTGCAAGTAATCTTATAGAGAGAGAAAGGAGAGGTTTCAAAAGACTTTAAGAGTTACCTTAATTTTTAAAAAAAATCCCTTTAGCTGATTGGTTAAGTCGTTGTTTCTCCACTCTGGAAATTCAGGTCTATGGACCCCAAGTCCCAGAATTCCTTAGCTAATATTGTCCACGTTTTTGGACCTATAGTTTTTTTTTTTATTTGGGAACACTGAACACAGTAGGACACATTTCTGAGAAAGAATGCCTAATTGTGCTCAATGAGTTGTATTTTTATTTCCCTCTTCTCCTTTCTAAATAAACTTCATAGCACATGGCAAAATGATGCAGTAGATACAGACCAAAAATTAGTGTATCTTATATTTGTATAAAACTAATACACTAACCTTTTGAAATTGTGGAGATTCTAGGGAACTTCAATTCAGCTATAGTCTGGATTAAAAAAAAATAGCCCATTGTGTCTATAGGGAGATCAGTTTATTTATTAAAGACATTCACATGCAAAAGTAAATTAGATCTCATCTGCTTTTATGAATATGCAGCAGAGAAAATCTGTTGTGGACATAAGAGGGCTTAACTCCCCTTTTTGAAAAGGAAATGCTTTGTACTATGCCTGGATTAGGTTTTCGCTTCGTGTTCGGCTGATGCCTCCATCCGCATCTGGGACATAAGGGCCGCACCAGGAAAAGCCTGCATGCTGAGCACCAGCAAGGCGCATGCTGCAGATGTCAATGTGATCAGTTGGAACCGAAATGAGCCCTTCATTATCAGTGGTGGCGATGATGGGATCCTAAGGATTTGGGATCTGAGGCAGTTCCAGGTAAGCCAATGGATTCCTGCAGTCAGATAAAGTATGGGACAGTCACGACTTGCCCTGTGCCATCTGGGTGGTTTGAGTCTTATGGGAACACAACTACTATAGAAATGATGCAGTTTCTCAACCTTGGTGGTTTTAAGACATGTGGACTTCAACTCCCAGAATTCTTCAGCCAGCATTGGTTTAGGGTTTCATGGTTTAGGGCATGAAAAGCCACACATTCGTTTTGTGACCCAACCCCACCTTCTACACATATACTAAGTCCAAAATTTGACCTCTTCTGAATTTGGGGGTTTACGACTTACAGTTGCCAGTGCCTTAAAACTTTGTGCCTTAAAACTTCCAAAATGGGCTTCATCCCACCCTCTTTGGGAGCCTGGCTCTCAACATATCCCACAAAACCTGGTGTGGCCTTCAAGCCAAAAAGCCCCATTTCCTTGCTCTCTGCTTTCCACCCCATCTGGCTTTTGCTATCATATTGATGTATTGTTTCCTTTTTCCTTTTATTATTCTATTAGTTTTCTTCTTTTCATTTTTTTCCTTTTGATCTGTTGTGAGTCACCTAGAGTAGCCCCACGGCAAGATAGGCAACAAATAAATTTAAAGAATAATTTTTGGCTTAAGTGTGTTGTGCAATCCCAGAGTAACTGGGTTATTTAATGACCTCTATCCCAAAGAGGCTTTTTCACGAGGCAACTGGACGTTGTTTTTCTTTGAAGACCATTCACTTCTCATCCAAGAAGTTTCTTCAGGGATGGTGGGGAAATGGAAGGATTTATACTCCTTGCAGATAGCTGGTCTGAAAGAGGGGTCAAAGAGGCCATCTGTGTCAAAGCCTTCTCTCAGCAGAGCGGGAGGGATACGACATCATCTATCTTCAGTTTACAACATAGTCCTTTCAGCAGTTCCAAAAAGGCTACACACCCATTTGCACCACTCAGGTGACCTTGAGGACACAGATAAACCTCCAAGTGGCCTCAACGACTCTCTAAAAGAATGCAAATGACCAGCTGTCTGCAAGGAATATAAATCCTTCCATTCCCCACCATCCAGTCAAGAGCTGAAGAAGCTTCTTGGATGAGAAGCGAAATGTCTTCAAAAAAACCCCAAGGAAGTCCAGTTGCCTCGTGAAAAACATCTTTGGGACAACCATGACTTGGATGACTGAGAATCTCCAGACATTCAATGAACTCTGCTTCAGCTAACATGGCTTAGCACATTGCTCCCTCCTGCTCCCATTTTTATGAGCTTGATTTTTTCTTCCCACAGCAAGGTTCAGCGGTTGCTACCTTCAAGCAACACACTGCGCCTATCACATCAGTGGAATGGCACCCCACCGATAGCGGCGTCTTTGCTGCCTCGGGGGCCGATGACCAAGTGACCCAGTGGGACTTAGCGGTGGAACATGACGAAGGAGGAGAAGCTGATGACCCAGCCTTGGCTGCCATCCCACCCCAGCTGCTCTTTGTTCACCAGGGAGAAAATGATATCAAGGAGCTGCACTGGCACCCACAATGCCCTGGCACTCTCATCACCACCGCCCTGTCTGGATTCAACATCTTTCGAACCATCAGTGTCTGAGGGAGGCTTTCAAAATGGCAACCACCTAAATTCAGGGAGGGGTGGTCAAGATGGGTGCCACCCTTTTACATGTGCAATACATGCATAAAAAAGTGATCATTCTGCTATAGAAAAGAGAAAATTCAAAACAGGCTTTTTTATGTCTGTAGAACTGCCCCAGTGAATATGTCAGCTTCTGTATATCTATTATATCAGCGATTCTCAACCTATGGGTCGCGACCCCATTTGGGGTTGATCGACCATTTCACGGGGGTCGCCAAGCAAGGCTGTCCGCCATTTTTTTTTCCCTTTTCCGGTTGGGCCAGCTGGTGGTCGGCCTGCTCCGTCTCTGCCGCTTACCAGCTACGCCTCGGCCGGCGCAGGGGGCGGAACCACGCATGCGCGGCGCTCCCGGGCAAGGAAAGCCCTCGACTTACGACCGGTTGGGTAGTCCTCGACTTACGACCGGTTTAGTCCTTGACTTACGACCGGTTGGGGGTCACGGCATTAAAAAGGTTGAGAACCTGTATTATATCCATAATGTACACTGGGGAGGAAGCTACTTTAAACTAGTTGCAAAACAGAATGTGTTTAAATATAAATTATTTTGGAAGTTAAACTCTGTGATCAAGCTTCCCGAGACTGGGTTTTGAGAAAGAGCTGGGATGGATGCATTAAAACCCCCATGCTTTGTCAGATGTTCAGAAACGTTAAGGTTGTGCATTGAAGACCTGGTATTAAAGAGAAATACATCTTCAGAAAAGGGAAACATGCTTCCTGTTAAAATCTTTTATTTGGTACATTTAATTCTTTGACTTACGACAACATTTGGGACCAGAATTTCGATTGCTAAGGCTGTTGTTAAGTGAATCATAGCTGATTTTACAACCTCCCCCCCCCCCCACACGGTTGAGTGAATCACTGCAGTCATTAAGGGACTCCAGCTTCCTCCATTGACTTTGACTGTCAGAAACCAGCTGGGAAGGTCACAAATGGTGATCACGTGACCCTGGAACGCTGCAACTGTTGTAAATAGATGCCGGTTGCCAAGCGCCCACATTTTGATTATGTGACCATGGAGATGCTGTGATGGTTCGTAAGTGCGAGGACTAGTCACAAGTCACTTTTTTCAGGGTCACTAAGTTCAAACAGTCATTAGATGAATAGTTGCCAATCAGGGACTAATTGCATAGTAGAGCAATGTTTTTCAACCTGGGCAACTTTAAGATGTGTAGACTTCAACTCTCAGAATTCCCATTTGAGAAACATTGGTATAGAGCAGGGGTAGGCAACCTTGGCTCTTTTATGACTCATGGACTTCAACTCCCAGAATTCCTGAGCCAGCCATGCTGAGGAGAAAGGGAGAGGTTTCCAAGCTGAGCCATGCTGGCTCAGGAATTCTGGGAGTTGAAGTCCACGAGTCATAAAAGAGTCAAGGTTGCCTACCCCAGCTATAGAAGGTAAATGCTGGCTTTTGTGTTATTTTCCATCCTGCGCTTAGTCATTAGATTCCAAGCTTGAGCTTCTTGCAGGACAATCCTTTTCTCTTTCTCTGTCTGAAATACAAAGATACACTTGAAAAAGACCAAATGTCTTTTATGTTGCTGGCAGCAGTGCTATCTAACCTAAGATCAGCCTTTCTAGCTACTGCCCTGGGAATGTGTTGAGCAGTAGTTCTCCTCATTCCCAACCAGCAGGAGTCATGAAAGATGGGGTCAGCCATCAACTTGGAACAACTGCCCCTGAATACAGATGTACAGATATACAGCTCTTGCGGGCTTCAGCACCAAGTGACATGGGTCAAGAAATTGCAGCAATTGTGATCCAAGGTATTAGGAGGGCACTTTGCTCTGGAAGACAAAGAATAGGTGACAACAGTTGTCAAAGCATATCTTAATAATGCCAGACCTTACCACTGTTGGAAATGGCAATCTTAAGATCCAAGCCTTTTCTCTCTCACTACATCCCGCTCCACTGTAGGGATGTATATGCTATAGTCCCCTCCTGGTCCACTGAACAGAGCAAGACAGTCTTCTTGACGCTGGTGCCAAGGCGTCCAGCACTGATGATGTCACACAGAGAGATGGGTACATCTTTGGAAAAACAGAGCGCAATGTAATGGGCATGGAACCTCATGGGATCACCTATCAAAAGAGGAGCGGGAAGAGTTAGCAAAGCAAGGAGGCTGGTCTCAACATGGTCTCTTCAACACTGGCTCATTAGTATGGAAGAAAACCTGCGTTACATATGTCTCAATAATAGAAAAGCAAACAATTTTCTTAATCGCTATTTGCCCTGCCAGAAAATTGCTGGAGCAGTTTGCTGAGGAACTCTTCATAATCTGGATGTGCAAACACAGGTTTTAAAATGTCCTGGAATAGGGGCAGTTAAATAGATAACTTTTAATATCCAGAGATAGTTAAATTAATGAAAAAAGGAGGCAGATATTCCTTAATACATGAGCTTTGAGGAATCACCTATTATGAATGCCTTTATTTGACAGTCTTGTCTGCTAGATTATAAAGTCTCGGACATCTGGAGAATATCAAATTCAGGAAGATGGATTGTAACAGTCTTTGAGGAAGTCTATTTCATTCCATGTTTGTGAAGCCCCTATTCCCATTCCCACTCCAATATCCTTTTTACTTTTCCTATCTGTACAATTCATATACAGAATGACAGCAACATTGTAATAAGCCATAATGTAGCTCTGGCGTACCATATTCTGGTTTATATTCCCTGTGTACTACGAACCATGATTTATAGCTTAAAAGGTTGGCGAGCCAAGGGTATTGTGGCTTCACACTTGCACCAGAGACAACAATGAAGGGACACCTGTTTAGCTGTATCTGACTTCCTTTCCTCACAGATAAAAAGTTTAAGCCATCATTCTTCACTTGAAGAGTGAATACTTTTCAATACTGTTTCCACAAATGCAAACATTCTTGTAAAATCTCTTTGAGAAATTTGCCTTCACCTGGATAAACGAGGAAGTCACCTCCAAATTTGCTCCCAGTTGTGACATAATAACCTCGTTCCCACAGGTCCTGGAAAATGCGGTAGCGCATCTCGTGAAGCTCTTGACCAGCATAAGGCCAGAGCTGAGATGCTACGTGCCAGTCTATTTTTTCTTCTTGAGTTATCTGAGTCCGTTCAGTGGGGAGCTGGATCATCATTGATTCTCTGGGAAACACAAAACAGGAACCAGACTCTGCAGGCTGTACAAGGGGATCTAAGAAAGGAAGAAGAGGTGATCTAATTTTTCATTTGAATGTCTTTAGTAAATGAACAGATTCCCTCACAGACACAATAGGCTTTACAAAAAACACCTTTCCTCAGGATTCAGCTGAACCAAAGTCCCTCAAATTTCTACAGTTATATTTTCCTCTGCATACAGGTAGTCCTCAACTTACAACCAATAGCTTAGCAACCGTTCGATGTTCTAACAGATCTGGATGCCCCCTGTCACATGACCACACTGAGTGTTCAACAACTGGGCCACATTTGCAGTGCCCCAGGGTCATGTGACTTCATTTTACGACAGGTTTGCCAAGAACTGACATTTACTTCCAATTTTCAGCAAAATTGTGTCCACAGCAAACCACTGGTTTGCTTAATGACCCTGGTGTTTGCTTAATGACCATCACAAACAACCACGCTATGACTATGATGAGCAGGCTTCATTATGGTTGTAACTAGTGGAGTATGTAATTTTTTTTTCAATCAAATATTGAAAAATAAGAATTTTGTCACTTTCGTCATAAATAAAATTCCACTTCGTATGCCCAGCTCTCTGTCACTGTAAATTCAAGGCTAGCAACGGTGACGTCAAATAGGCGAAAGCATGGGCAGAACTGTAGAGCAGGAGGTTCTATGGTAGTAGTAGTAGTAAATATCAATAGCTAAATCTAATCTTGGATCTACTGCTGTGATGGGTCAAAATATGCTCCTGGGTGTGAATATTACATCAAGCAGCTCATAATGCTAAGAGCTGTCAGAAGAATAGTTTGGGAGCAGAAATATGTGTCAAGGTATTGATTGAACAGCTAACCAACTTATATAAGATTTAAGATGGAATGATGGGAATGACTCAGCAGGGTCTGTGTCTCTTTAAGAGCCTTTGTATAAAGGGAAGGCTCCGCTGATGTGTTCTCTCTCTTCCATTTCCTGCTGTAACTGTGGTTTGTTGGATCCTGCTATATTAGCACGTGTATGTATATTGTTCCTGGTGTATGATATTGTAGATAGTGTAAAATAAACCACCGTTTAATATAGACCATTGTTTACTCACACAATAAGACTCTGCTCGCTCTAACAATATGTAGGCAGAATTCTTGGGACATCCTAGTCTGCAGGATCCAATCTGGATCGGTCACCGAGACCAGAGGTTTTGTCTTGTGAGCTTTTAGACTCCTGCTGGAGCCGATCCTCGGGGATCTTCTTCTAGCAAAGTTTGCTAGAGAACAGACACTCCGCTAAAGAGAAGTTCCCTGAGGATGGGCTCCAACACAAGTCTGAAAGCTCAGAAGGCAAAACCTTCGGGTCTCAGTAACCAATCCAGATTGGATCCTGCAACATTATCCTCGGTCACGTGTATTCATCTTCATTAGTGACATCCTATTCTGCTTAAGCACCAACTTCATTTAACAATGAAAAAATTGTCCAACCTGTCCAGTGGTTTTATGGGCTTTCAGGGTTCCTAAACCCCAAATGAAACATTACAATAACCAAATATACACATTAGCTCACCTCCTCCTTCTCCTTTCCGTTGCCATTTCTTTGCTCGGCCCTGGGTTATATGGTCTGCAAGAGACTCCAGTATGGTTTTCTTCTGTTCTGCAGAGAGCCTCAGCTGCTCCTGGTAGTTCTCCTCTAGCTCTTTCTCATAGGCAATCGCTTTCTCTGGGCATAAGGTGTCCTGAAGACACAAAAGCAGCAAGCTCAGTGTGGTCAACATAAGCAACCTTGCAGTCAGGTTGGCCATGCTGGTTAGTGTTACTGGAAGGGGACATGATTGACAAACATTATTCCTTTCTCTGAGCTCCAGAATAATCCAAGTCAGAGCTCTAAAATAAGCCTTGTCTTATTTGCAGCAAAATGAGGTACCTCTTTATACACACATACACCCTGTGGATCAGGGATCCCCAACCCCTGGTCTGTGGACCAGTACCGGGCCACAGCATGCCAGCAACCTGGCCGCACAAACAAGCAAACCCCCATCCATGGGATGCAGGCAGCACACAAAACCACGCAGGCAACACACAAAACCCTCCGGTCCACAGAAAAACCTCTCTCTACGGAACTGGTCCCTGGTGCCTAAAAGGTTGGGGACCTCTGCTCTGGATCATACATGGAAACATTCACTGCCAGCTGAAAGGTAACATAAAACAAAAGGGTCTATTGAAATTGCTTTGGAATTTTTACTAGCTTCTTTTTTCCCCCCAAACACAAACACAACTGCTCCTAATTGGCAGCTTGAAACCCATTAGTACTTAATTCTGCTGCACAAATAGGTCAGGAAGAGAAACTATAAAACATAAAACTGGTGCTAACTTCTTGAATATTCCAGCTGTGATGTTATACTGATGTCTGAGCTTATTTTGCTTTATTACACAGCTGGGGAGGAAGGGGCAGAAAAAAGGGATAACTGGCTGTTGAAAAAAAAGCTGATACTACGTCGTAATTTCATTGCTGGAAGAAATTACAAATAGTCTTCGAGTTACAACCGTTTGTTTAGTGACCATTCGAAGTTACAGCAGCACTGAAAAAATGACTTATAACTGGTCCTCAAACTTGTGACTGTCACAGAGTCCCACGGTCATGTGATCAAATCTGGGTGCTTGGCAACTGGCATGTATTTATGACAGTTGTACCATCCTGGGGTCACATGATTGCCATTTGTGACCTTCCCGGTCACCTTCCAACAAGCAAAGTCAATGTGAGACCGCCAGATTTACTTAATGACTGTGGTGATTCACTTAATAACTGCTATGATTCATTTAACAACTATGGCAAAAAAAGATCATACCACCGGGTGCAGCTCACTTAACAACCACCTTGCTTTGCAATGGATATTTTGGGCTCAGTTGTGGTTGTCAGTCAAAGCCTACCAATAGAGGAATGTCTCAGAAACATGTAGATCAGGGGTCCTCAAACTTGGCCACTTTAAGACTTGTGGACTTCAACTCCCAGAATTCCCCAGCCAGCATGGCTGGCTGGGGAATTCTGGGAGTTGAAGTCCACAAGTCTTAAAGTGGCCAAGTTTGAGGACCCCTGATGTAGATGATTGATCTCTGCACTTTGCAAAGTTTGGGAAATGGGGAGTTTATCCTTCACTTCTAAGTCAAAAGTCAAAGGTGGGTTAAACCATTACCTGGTTCTTCCCATCACCAAGGGATTGAGACGTCGGGCTCCTAACCAGGGTTGCCAACCCCTTTTCCAATAACAGCCGAGCCTCTTCGGGAAGCAATTCCAAGGGCAGCCCAAGCCTCACGTTCTGCCGTGGCTTCCGAGGCAATGCCCCCACCAGCACGCCAACAATGCGATGTTCCTCTCTGATTTGCCGTGCGTCTGCGTAGTTCCACACAAATGCCTTTCCCTCTAAGAGGTAGATTCGGATCATGCCTGAGCCTGCAACATCAGAAGAGGATTGAAGTAACAAGCTATTCAGGTATTTTTGATATGGAAGGTGGAAGGTTCAGCTATTCCTGGGGATTTCCTAGTAAGCTTACAACCAAAGGGCGGTTTTTAACACAAACAAGGCTCTCATTTTCCTTTCCACTAGAAAGCTCACTAATGAGGCTACCAGTGGCCACTGCAGATCTTGAGATTTTTATTAAGGAGCCCTTCAATCTGGGTTAGGCTTAGCTGAATAGACTGGAGTCAGTTGTTCTCAGAGCTGCCTTGTCAAAAGTTCTTTTCTGAGAAATAGGCAATAGATATATCAAAAGGAGTCCACACATTCCACTAAGAGCTAAGAATAAACCACAGGTAACAGTCTTATGGATGGGGGATGCACCAGATGGCTTGGTTGCATGCTAACCTCTTAACAGATGAAGGAGGAGGAGGAAGAAAAGGAGAAGTGTCTGCAGCTAAATTGTCCCAATTTGCACATTTACCTGAAAGTAAGAGCCATTAAATGTCGGGGGCTGGCTTCTGATTACCTGTTTGTTAAGATTGTGCCTATATTACTTGATAAGTCATTTTACAAAATTATTCAATTAATCCCTGCATCAAATCCATCTTAGCTGGGACTTTAGCAGACTCTACTAAACATACAGGGCATCCTGTCGTTTTCCATCACAGGAAGAGCTTTAACCATCCTTCAAAAAAGTAACCCACACAAAATGCATCAGATTGGGTTAAAAGTTACCTCCCCATTTCCTCCTGTAAGGGAACCTCAGAGCCTTAGTTCCTCCAGTCCCAGCTCCAATCCTAAACTCAGATTTCTATTGCTAAGCAAGATAGCAATAGTGAGTTTTGCCTCGTTTTACAACCTTTCTTGCCATAGTTGTTAAGTGAATAATTGCAGTTGTTAAGTTAGTAACATGGTTGTTAAGTGAATCTCGCTTCCCCATTGACTTAGCTTGTCAGAAGGTCACAAAAGGGAATCACGTGACCCTAGGACACTGCAACCTTCATGAGTCAGTTGCCAAGCATCTGAATTTGTGACCATCATGTGACCATAGGGATGCAGCAACAGTTGTGTGAAAAACAGTCATAAGTCACTTTTTTCAATGGCATTGTAACTTAGAACAGTCACTAAACAAATAGTTTTAAGTCAAGGACTACCTATAAAAGATAGTCCTTTATTTCATAAAACTCACATTGGTCCTTTATTTTAGACCTTTCGGTTTTACTATACAAATGCAGTTTGACAGAAACAATCCTGTCCGATACTTGCTTCTAATAATTGTATAGCTTCTTATGCTTTATTTGTATCCCACCTTTATTTTTTTATAAATAACTCAAAGCAGTGAACATATCCAATATTCTTTTCTCCTCCTACTTTCCCCACAATAACCCTGAGAGGTGGGTTGGGCTGAAAGAGAGACTGGCCCAAAGTTACTCAACCTGTTTTCGTGCCTAAGGCAAAACTATGATAAGAATTCATAGTCTCCTGATGTCTACAGAGATTCCCAGTCATCCAGGTCATGGTTGTCCCAAAGGTGCTTTTTCAAGAGGCAACTGAACTTTCTTTGTTTTTCCTTTGAAGACGTTTGGCTTCTCATCCAAGAAGCTTCTTCAGCTTCTGAAGAAAGTCCAGTTGCCTCTTGAAAAAAAACATCTTTGGATCATAATCTCCTGGTTTCTAGCCGGATGCTTTAACCTCTAAACCAAGTTGGCTCCCAGTTCAGATATTTTTATTAAGAATATGCGTTTTGTAATTTTTTTTCTTGTTGGTTTTGCTCTTGAATTCTCCTTTGTAAAGCGAAGTTATAAACGTAGTTCCTCCCCCTTTTATGCGCCTCTTTCGGATTTGCGCCTTTTTTTTCTTCCCCCCCCCCCCCCCAAGAAAAGATGCTCACCGTAGCCAGGCGCTTCTCTCCCTTCCCGTTACTTTCAAGCCCCTTCTGCCCCCATAGCGCAAGCGTCCCGCGTGTCTTGCAGACCGCACCGCCCGGCCCTCTCCGACTCCCGCCCCCGCGGAGCTACAGAAATCCACCAATCACCTTTTAAGCCACCGGCCGAGCGGCTGGGAAGGACGGCTCCCCGAACCAATACGCAAGGCAATCAAAGGCCACCGGCTGGTTTCCGCGAGGCGAAGGAGGGAGCGGACGACAAGGAGAACTGGGGGGGGGGGGCGGTTAGAAAGAGAAAAAAAAAACACACAAGAGCCGCTCGCTTTCAGACACGCTCGAGAGAGAGAGAGAGACGCTCGCTTTTGCGAAGGAAGCGATTGCGCGAGAGACAGGAAGCCAGGAGGCGCGCAGGCGAGCGGGAGATCCCCAATCAAAGCGTGTGGATCCCAGCCGGGGAGGCGGGTCTCGCTCTGCTCGTCCTCGCCCTGCATGTTGCACGAAGTTGAGACCCTCCGGCCTCTTTTGCCCGCCCTGCAAAGTGCCCCCACGCCACCCTCCCTTTGGGACAGCTCGCGCGTTGCGGAGAGGGCTCCCTTGCCCAGGGTGAGTTGCCCGCGCGGGACGGGGAGATTTAAGGAAGGGACGGGGGGGATCGGGATCGGGGGTGGAGTGGAAAGCAACCCCGGAGGATTAACGCTGGGGATGGGGATGGGATGGGGGCCCTAACTTCTAGGCGAGGGTTGCAACCCCGGATTAATTTAAGCAGGCTCCTTCCAAGTTCCCGGCATCCTCCAAATGAGATGGATTACAATGCCCTTCGTCCCCAGCCAATGTTGCAATCCAGGGCAACAGGCGGGTGCCGGATAGAGGCGGGAAGTGCTTGCCTTGAAACGTGTAGGACAACTGTTGAAGAGCCAATCGTATTTTTATAGAGCTCAGACAACTGCGTTAAGCGTTTTTATGTAATCCGAGATATAAATTTGGTTACTTAAAGACTAAACGAGATTTCTAGGTTATCTAAATCTCGAATTTTAGATTTTTAGAAACCAACCTCGAATTTTAGATTTTTAGAAACCAGGAGATTTTAAATTCTAGTCCCCACCGTAGGCATAAAAGGTGACTGAGTGACTTTGGGGCATTCTCTCTCAGCCCAGGCCAGCCCACCTCACAGGGATGTTGTGGGGAAAATAGGAGGTAGAAGGATTATTGGACATGTTTACCCCTTTAAGCTGTTAATTAAAAAAAAAATACAGGCAGGATATAAATAAGGATTATTGGGCATGTTTATACCCCATTGAATTATTTATAAAAATAATAAAGGCAGGATATAAATAAGTAAACAGAATCCCTTAACCCCTGATGAGTAACATCAGGCTATCAAAGATTTTGTTTCAGAAATTATTTTCTAAGATTTGCCCTTTCCTCCAATGTTACTGAGTTATTGTACTGTGGAAAAAATGTGTTCTACATCTCCCTCCTCAGAGGCATAAATCTGAGACCCGGAGCACCTTCTGAGTGGACTGGAAACAGGCAAGGAAGAATTTGACAGGCCTTAAATTATACTGTACTTGTTTTTACTGCGTTGCCCTTTGACATAAAAATTATACCTCTATTTCTTTTTGAAATTTATACGATTGCAAAAAAATTCCCTGAAGTGTTTTGCTTGTCCTGTTATTAAATACGCTTCTACCATTCCTCCAAATTCTGTGGCTATTTAACCTGAAGAGGAAATTCTCATTTTGTTTTCAATATCCCCTTTGGACACATATCTTTGGCAACGCAAACTCAGTACTTTCCTTTAACCTCTGGGCCCATAACTTGCATTTTTCTTGCATTACAAAGTCTCTATCTATATACAGTTTGTTCTTTTTGCCTGTACAGGGCACTTCCCCCTTCTTCCTTGCTTGGTTTTTTTTTTTTTTTTTACATTAAGTGAGTTTTTCAGAGCCAGCTGGAGAAAGGGGTGTGTATAAAATCTGTTTGAGTGACTCACAGGGTGTTGGATCCTCTGGACTTTCCTTCATCCAAACTGTTATCTAGTTGGAGAAGGGTAGAAATGAGTGGAAGGTAACTTGGTTTCTCTGGAACTCTGATCTGGCCACTTGGGTACATTCAGTGGCACCGTTACTTTTAACACAAATCAAGGAGTCTGACCTGAGGGGAGAGAAGCAAAAGTTTGGGAAGACAGATGTTCGTAAGGTACAGCTGGGGAAAAAGCAGGCTGGATGTAGAAGTGGAGTGGCTTGTGCAAGAGCATGCAAAAGGGTGTAATCCTAATAATAGGAAAGAGCTTGTTTGTTTTGTAATCATAGAGTAAAGGGTTATTTTGTAATTTTACTTACAGTATATTTGCTACGAAAGAAATCAGAAGCTTTCTATTTCTTTTTATTCCTTTTTCACTTTTGCTTTTTTTCGTCCTTCCTTTACTACTTTTATTCTTTATTAGTTTTGGTTTTTATGTTCTTTGTAAAACTTTTAATAAAATATATTGAAACCTCCCCCTCCCGCCAAAAGGGTGCAATCACTTTCCACTAGTGAGAAACAAAGATTTTTGCAGACAAGCTTGGAATCCATATTTTTAAGGATTTCAAAAAAGAGGGAAAATGTTGCTCATTCTTACTCTCTTGAATTCAAGGAATTCTTGAATTCTACCTGACTCTTAACGTTCAGTATCCTCTGCTGCTGCTGCTGCTGCTACCACCGGTACATCCAACAGTGTGGTCTTAAACTATTTGTGATGTGTTCCTTTTTTTTAGCTGCTCTCTCCTTTTCCACTTTTCTGCAGTTTAGTCCTGAGAAGTAAGATGTCCAAGATTAATAGAAATGTTTCTTCTTAACACCCTTAAGTTGTCTTTTTCTATTTAATACAACAAGATCAGTCTTAGCAAAAGTATGCTTCAGGCTAATTTCAAAAAGCACATATGTCTCTTGGTAGCATTCCTTATTCCCTTTCCTTATTATTACAGAATTTATTACCCTGCTGATTCATTGCTGAAAAAACCACCCCAAGTGATTTCCAAGCAGACAGAAGTATGTAAGAGGAGATGTTGTATTTTTGCAGGCCTGGAGATAAAAAGAATTCATTGCTGATCTGAGGCATCAGAGATGGAGGGGGGGTGGGGAGACAACCAATCAGCATTTGAGTCTTGATTGATTTGTCTTAGTCTTTCTCAGTTGGGACTGTGATATTTGCTATTGATGCATGCTTCTCTCACAGAGCATGTTGGCAACAACTGGTTTACTTTAATTGATTCCAAAAAGATGATGAGTCCTGATTAACATTTAGGTAGCCTGAGGGCTGTAGGCTACAGTGAGAAGTGGAGGATTGTCTCAGAAGAGGCCTCAGTTTGAATGAAGCTTTATTAGCCTTGCTCAACTTACTTAGTTGGTCTTTATGACTACATAAGTAAATAATCACCATATCTCACAGTGCAAATTAAATTAACCACACCTTTTTATTTTTACTTCGTAGAGTTTCCTCACAAGTGCCAGGTCTGCTTATTTTGGATCAACCAAATGTTGATCAACTTGGTTGTGAAAGGAATTGACCAATCGGCTTGTTGCCCAAGCCTGATGTTGTGGTCTGAGAGAAAGAGCGACTAGCCCTCAGATCAGCAACCTGCGGCTCTTTGAGCCTTCTGCTACAGCTCCCAGCCTCCTCTGCCATTTGCAGAGAGAAACAGAGAGAGTACCTCTCTTGTGCTTCCCCCCCTCTCTCTGTCTGTGTGTGTGTATGTGTGTAAAAAGAGTTCTACGAGCTGAGAAGCTTATTGGGCAGGGCTCCTCCCTTTGCTACATCTCTGCAGGAAGCAGGAAGGGGAGGAGAGAGCCAGCCTGTTGCTGAACAACTTGAAGCCAGCTTGCCAAGTGAGCAGAAGATCGGAGAGGGAGAGGGGGGGAGAGAGGGGGGAGAGAAAGAGAGAGAGGGAGAGAAAGAGAGAGAGCAAAGAGAGAGAGGGGGAGAGAAGGAGAGAGAGGGGAGAGGAAAGAGAAAGAGGGAGAGGAAAGAGAGGGAGAAGAAAGGGAGAGGAAAGAGAGGAAAGAAAAAGAGGGAGAGGAAAGAGAAAGAGAGAAGAGGGAGAGGAGAAAGACAGAGAGGGAGGGAAAGAAAGAAAGAGAGAGGGGGAAAGTGCAAGTGCCTCTCTCTCTCTCTCTTACCCCCCCCCCCCACACACACACACGTTGAGTGGGGGAAGAGGACTGGCAGACCAAGGGCAGAGAGAAGGAGAGAGAGAGAGACCCTTTTGACATCTAAAATAAAGATAACACTGCATATATCCCAGTGGTGGCGAACCTATGGCACGGGTGCCAGAGGTGGCACTCAGAGCCCTCTCTATGGTCACCCAGTCCTAGGCCTTCAGCTGGGTTTTATAAAACCGTTTCGCTTTAGGCCTCCGCTGCCATGTGCAAAAAAAATCAGTCAATTTCAACTTCTCGCGGAAAAAAAAAAGATCTTGCAAAGTTGGAATTGATTGATTGAACTTTTTAGCCCCACCCAGTCTGCTGTTACCACTGCAGCCACGCCCATCCAATGGGCCACACCCACCCAATGGGCCACACCCACCCGGCACTCAACGATGCATAAGTGGGTTTTGGGTTGCAGTTTGGGCAGCTGGCTTTCTTGGCTAAGAGAACTAGAACTCGCAGTCGCCTGGTGCTTTAATCATACAAAACTGGTTCTCTAAGTTAACCACACATTTGCTGAAAATACTTGTTGGGCCAGTACTGCTTTTTAAATCCGTTATTAATCTCTTGTATCAAAATAATAATCCCTTTTCCCTGTCATCAAGTTCTCAACCTCAGGTGGTCTGATCTACCTGCTTTACTTTTCCATAGCATGTAGTATATGCAATCAAAAACCACAAGATCACTTCCTATTTTCCCCTTTATATCCCTTCTTTCTCAAAAATCAAGTGCAGAGCCGGTGTCACTGCCCTGTGCTCCATATTTCCAGTATTTCTCCCTTTGATCCATGCAGATTGACCTAATTCTGTATTTCTTGCCAGCTACAATGTCACCTGATGAAATTGTCTACTTGGCAGTCCTTCTCATCTCTATACCTGTTGGCTTCCTCTTCAAGAAAGTGGGTAAGTGTGAAACCTGAAGAAGGAAATGCTGCTAGGTACCTGTGCTGGACCAGTATGTATATAACCATCTGGCCAGAGCTGATATAAGTAGCATTTAAGGGGTTAAATGCTGTCTCCTTAAGAGATGGCTTCTGGGAAATGTAGTTTAGTTGTTACATGGTTATATCTGTGTCCTAATTGGTCAGTTCTATGTCTTAATTAGCCATTGGAAGGGACTTTAATGTTTTATGACAGGATTTCCTGGCTACGGGCCAGCATGTAAAGTTTTGTGTAGTACAGACACAGGACCCTTTGCTCCAACGAACATGGGGTGAATCTACCTTTAATTTTTTACACAAGATCGGACAGATTATGATACGTGCCTCAGAAGAACTCTTCTTAACTGTGCGTTATTGTTTAGAGATTCCTGAAGAATAAATAATCTGAATATTAATCTGTTTTTGGAGTTAATCTGTCTGTGACAAACAGGAATAAAGCAAATCTCTTGTTTGGATCAGAACAGTACCTCATAAGAAACTGTCCTGGGGTTCATGTCAGAAGGCCTTGCCTTTAACTCAACTCCTTGAAGGGCTTCCTGGTTTGAGTAACCAAGTTGTAAGAAGCGCATATCCAAAGGAACTCTGAGAAGACGGGATGTGAAATGGAGCTGTTGTCAATCCTTTTAAATGGGGATGGTGAGAAATAACAATACATGGGATCTGCATATTTCAGGTAGTCCTTGACTTATGACTGATGGCTTAGCAACCGTTCCAAGTTATGAGGGACTTCCCCAGGAGTAGTTATGACCTGGTTCCAAACTTTTAACAGCCGCAGGGCCCATTCCCATGGTCAAATGATTGCATGTTGGGCACTCGGCAGCTGACTCACATTTAAAGCCTTTTGCAGCATTCCCTGGTCACATGGGATTGTATTTTATAACAGTGTTACTGAAAACTGAAATTTCCAGATTTTGGCAAAAACGATCCACAGCGAACAATGGGGTTTGCTTTACAACCATTGCATTCACTTAACAAATGCTGCAAAAGCGGTTGTAAAATCAGGTCTGTCACATAGGTGATCTGCTTTACAGCCATCATGACTGGCAACCATAATGGGCAGATTCCGTTACGGTTGTACATTCCTGGCTATTTGCCGTGATCCAAGAAGCTTCTTGGATGAGAAGCGAAACGTTTTTAAAGAAAAAACTTAAGAAAGTCCCGTTTTGTCTTTTGGAAAAAGCGCCTTTGGGACAACCATGACCTGGCTGATTGCGAATCTCCATAGGCAATTTTATAAGTTTTATTTGGATGTAGATTCTTAGAAACGGTAGATCTGGGTAGGTTGTACATTCAAGCAAGCAAATAAAGTATGCCTCAAACTCACAGTTCAGGGTGTACATCTTTAGACGATGGAAAAATGTGTTCCTTTCTTTTTTTTTAATAGGTTCAAAGACCAAAAAATATGGGGCAGCTGTGGTAGGACTTGCCCTTATTCTGGTGACTTGCCAGATCCACATCCTTCACTCCCTTATCACCATCCTGGGGACGTGGCTTATTATCAATATCTCACCAAGGTAAAGTGATCTAACAAATACGGTGGCTGTAAGATGGTCTGACAGATGCAGAGAAATGCTCTGAGTTTAAAAAGCAAAGACGGGATTATAACTTTCCTAATTTTCCTAAAATCCAACTCTCTCTCCCTCTCTCTCTCTCTCTTTCTGTGTGTGTGTAGGTAGGTAGGCAGGTGCCAGATTTTGGAGAAAGACCCTCAGCTCCTTAGCTGATGATGATGTTCTCCAGTTGAGTCCAACTCTTGTTGATTCTAGGGGCTGGGTCTCTGCACATCTTCTGATCTTGCACTATTTCTTTGAGTTTTTCTATGCTCTGGCTGGTATCAGTTTTGATGGTGTCCAGCCATCATGCTCTTGGTGGCCTGGTTTTCTTTTACCGCTAACTCTTACAAACATACCGTATTTTTCCGTGTATAAGACGCTATTTTTTCCTGCAAACACCCTCTTCAAAAATCAGGTGCGTCTTATACACGGAAAAATAATGGTAACCTTCGCAGCCCAGGGCATGCCTGTGTGGTTCCATGTCGTCTGGTGCAAGTGTCAAGCCCCTATGGGCTTGCCACTAACGGGAGGGGGGAGGGGGCAAGATCTTCTGCCCGCCGAACTTGGACTCAGCTGTTTGGTGCTCCACCGAACAGCTGATCAGCGCGGAGAGCGTCTTATACACGGGTGCATCATATAGATGGGAAAATATGGTAATTGCTTTCTCTAATAAATTCCTCTGCATGTCACGGTCTGGTGTTATGCCCTCCAGTATTTGTTAGTCACCTTTGCTTTCCAAGGAATACACAGGAGCCACAGCTCAAATGAATTGATTTTCTTCCCATCTTGCTATTTTAAAGTCCAATTTTCACAACCATACGGGGAACAAAATAGAGTGAGCTAATCTATTTTGTCCTTGTTTTTCCATAATCAGCCCATGTTCATCATTGCTGTGCAACCCAGTGCAATCTAACATTTTATTTCTGCACTGCATTCATCGCTTTGAGCTATCTGCGGTCCAAGGAAAGTGATTTTTTTCCACACTTTCTATCTTCATCATCAATTTCTATTTGGATGTTTCCCTTGCAATTGTCATGAGCTTGGTCTTTTTGATGTTCAGAAAATTCTCACTTCTTTGATTTTCTGGATCAGGTGTCCCAGGCCTTCTTTGGTTTCTGAGAGGAAAGTTGTATTGTCAGCATATTGAAGATTGTTGATGTTACTTCCACAAATCTTTACCCCAATTTTGTATTCTTCAGGGTTTAACTTTCTCATAATTTTGAATAAGAAAGGGAAGGGAATGCAGTGCTGTTGCACTTCTTTCTCTATCTTAAACCAATTGGTGTCTCCATATGATATTCACACAGTGGCTTCCTGATTTGTGTTACAGTGATTGCACCAACTTGACCAGATGTGCTCAGGCCTTGTAGGTCTCTCCATAGCTTCTCATGATCAACACAATCGAAGGCTTTCTTGTGGTCGATGAAGCACATGTAAATGGTCTTTTGATATTCACAAGATTTTTCCATGATCCAGTGCAGATCTGCAATATAGTCATGGGTGTCATGACCACTTTGAAAGCCGGCTTGGACAACTGGTAATTATCTTCTAATGGTTGGTGCTGGACATTGCTGTATAATTTTAAGCAAAATTTTTCTGATGCAAGCAATGACACCAATTGTGTCATAATTGGAGCAATCTTTAGAGTCACCCTTTTTGGCAGTGGAATGAACACTTGACTGTTTCCAATCCTGTGGCTACGTGTCGGTTTCCTGAATTTTCTGGCCCAGGTCTCTAATGATGGGTGATGCAGGTCTCAGTAATTCTGCAGGGATAGTGTCAAAATCTGGAGTCTTATTGTTTGGCAGTTGGATCATTGCCCAAATAATCTCTTTCTCAAGGACGATCAGTTCTTTCCTTGTCATCCTGAGACTGGGCTCCTTTGCTACCTGCATGCAGCTGTTCTGTATATTCTCGCCATATGTTCTTGATGCCTTGTTGATCGGACAGTTCTCTCCCTTACCCGTTTTTAATGATGTCTTTACGAGCAATAAATGTTGCTTGGATCTTTTTAACTTGCATAAATGCAGCTCCTTAAGGTTTTGACTAGTTCACACATTCTGCTAAGCAGTGATTTGCTTAATTGTGGTAAGCTATACTTTTTTGGCTTACATAAAACTGTAAGCCACGCTCCCTATTTTTGCAGACCATGCTAAACCAAAACCAAACATAGCACATTATGACACCTCTAATGTTAGGATTTCTGGTTTCTAAAGGTTATCTATGCCCTCAAGTGAATACAAGAATCTTGTATTCAGTCTGTTCAAATAACCTCAGCTGAAACAGATCACGTGGTTTCCACTTGCCACATGACCTCAGCAGGTTGACTGGAAAATTCTGAGAATTTCAGTCCATGCATCTTAAAAGTTGCTAAGGTTGAGAAACAGTAGGTTAGAAGAGTGGTTAGTTTCTGTGGGACAATCAATGCAAGGATACCCATGTGATGCTTTTGAAACTGGTGTAGAAAAAAAGAATTAATAATTATAACCTCTCTGCTTTTTTTTTGCTTTTTTTAAAAAATAGGACTTGTCATCACCTGACACTGGGATGGACATTTTCCTACTTACTTTTTTTCCGCACTGTTACTTACTTCAACTATCCAGAGCCAACACCATTCACCAATGCTGTGCAACTTTTGCTCACTCTTAAGGTATCAGGCTATTCTTGGGATAATGGGAAGGAAGGGTGTTTAGCTTGAAGGGGAATTAAGGTTCTTTTTTTTTCTGGAACTTTTGTCTCCCAGCTGCTGAGCTTAGCCATTGAGGTACAAGAACTCATTCAGGCGAAGAAACAGGAAGTGACAACCTTTACCAAAACTCCGATGATTGGTGCAGTTCTCCAAAAACCGGGGTTGGTGGAGATACTGTGCTATTGTTACTGCTATGTGGGGCTTATGACAGGTAAGGTGAGCTGGCTAATAGAAAGTGTAATATATCTACAGGTATAAACACCTGTGATCCATCTTCCCTTTCACAGTCTTATGAGCAGTGGTTTTATGGACATTTTAAAATGTTGGCATCTTCTCACCACATGTATAAATATCAGTAAGGGAAAATATTGGGCTAAAGAGCTACTCTGTATTGTTACAATTTCTTTTTAAAGGAAAAGGTGGTTAAGAGATCAGAACAAGTTGAAAACGATAAAGCCCATTCCACTTTTACCTTCTCATCTGCTTCTCATGTCAGCCACCTATTGCTCTTGGTATTGTGCCTGATCATTGTGTGTAAATTTGGCCTCTTGTATTTTTTGCAGAAGTGTGTTTGAAACTACCTTGCTGATCAGACAAAAATAACTATTCTTCCCATTAGCCTACACACTTCACTTTTACAGCTTCTCCTTTTTGTTTTGTGAGAATTGCATGAGAAATGATCATGTAATGCTGCTGCAAACAGGAAATTACAGCAAAAAGTAAGATACCAGGCATTATGCTTTTGTTGCCAGAATCTGCAGGAAATCATAAAATTGTGCAACTAGCACATCCCTGTGTACTTCCCAAATCACACACAACCTTAATCTATCAAGCCTATCCAAAACAGAAGCCCCAAAAACATGTTGGATACCATCTCTCACAACCCTCCACTAAATTACAGGTAGTTCTCAAGTTAACAATTGTTCATTTAGCGGTGGTTCAAAATTACAATGGCACTGAAAAAAGTTACGACCGGTCTTTGCATTTACGATCATTGCAGTGTTCCCATGGTCACTTGATCAAAATTCAGGTGTTTGGCAATGGGCATGTGTGTATAGTAGTTGCAGCATCCCAGGTGATTGTTATTTCCGACCTCAGCTGGCTTCCATTCCATAAGCAAAGTCAATGGGGTAAGCTAGATTTACTTAATGAGCTTGTGTTTCACGTAATAAGTTCAGTGGTTCGCAGCAAAAATGGACATAAAATTGGACATAGCTCACCTAAGAACTGCCTTGCTTAGCAACAGAAATCCTGGCCCCAGTTATGATCATAAATGGAGGACTACCTATAGTGGCTTTGGATTAAGAGAAATAGTGTGAACACAACTAGAGGAAATCAGGGTATGGAAACAGTGTCTTAAGTAATTCAACTGTGTATGTGTGACGCTTTCTCTGGCCTTGTTTTATTTTTCCTCAAGCATACTTCTCCCTCTGCTCTTTGATCTTAATATTTCATTGTTTTCTGTTTTGGTACCCAGGCCCATTTTATCGCTATCGTACATACCATGACTGGTTGAGCCAGATTGAGCCTTCTGTTATCCCTAGCTGGCGGCCGATGCTTTCCAGATCCAGAATGATCCCGATCTTTGGAATATTTTTCCTGGTTGTCTCCCACTTCTTCCCCCTTGATTACGTCCGAAGCAACGCCTTCTACGAGAGAGGACTCCCTTTTCGCCTCTTCTACATGGTGCCCATCTTCTTCGTCTTCCGGATGCGCTTCTATGTTGCGTGGCTTTGCGCCGAGTGCGCCTGCATCGCTGCTGCTTTTGGTGCCTATCCAGTCACTGCCAAATCTCGGTCAGGTGGGGGACCTACAGTGGAATATGAGCCTTTAAGTCGGTAAGTCAGGAACCTCTTCCTTTGCCTCTGCCTTCTCTAAAATACTTCTGGTTTTCACACAGCACTAATAACAGTGAATTGTTACCACAGGCTTCATAAGAAGTGCTTTCCTGGGGCCACTTCTCGCCAAAAGAATCACCACCAATTCCTTAGATATAGCAGCGCTAAAATATTCCGCCTTATTTGTGGGGTTGGGACAGTTTAAGGGAAACAGACACACTGATCTTTGCAGAAGCTTTATGTCCACCTTCTCTTTATTTTTCATTGAACATGTACAAATTGGGCCTTCGTGTGTTTGAGTTCTACAGACCAATTTTGGAGTCATGAGAAGTTCCTTCTCAAATAATAAGTGTACTAATTATAGCATGGAAATGGGGTATATATTTGTTCTCTCAGGATGCTGATCTCTTTCTGGTTCATATGATTGTAACTGACTTAAAACTCAGTTCTGATTCTTGCATGAAACTTACCTGAGGTCCCTGTAGTACAACATTGGTCTAATTCCTGGCCCTTAGCTTGCCTGGACATACTGTTTGTTCCAAAACTCATTCCATTCATAACTCAAGGATTCTCGTACTTTGAATGGGATTTACTCCCTGCTTTCGCCCACATGCATGGGTGAATGCGTGGCTCGTTAACTGCACATGAGGTATCTCAGGGTGGGGAAGGCCATGGAGGGCCTAGTGATGGAACAGGCCCCCAAGGCCTCCCCGCCCCACTAAGATACCTCATGTTTCCCCCTCTCTTCCTGCCCCGCCAGACTCACCTTGAAAAGATCCGTCTCCTCTTGGCTGCGGTTCCTGCTGCCACCCGGATCTGAGGCTGGGGGACGTTTCTGCGTGCCTCCAGAGGCCCAATCCAGGTGTTGGAGGCCTTTTCACGGCCACTGCCACCCAGATCTGAGGCCAGGGGATGCTTCCATGTGCCTCCGGAGGCCCGTTTCTGAGCGGCAGCAGCTTGGAAAAGGCCTCCGACGCCTGGATTGGACCTCTGGAGGCACGCAGAAGCGTCCCCCGGCCTCACTTCCGGATGGCAGCAACCTGGAAAAAGCCTCCGATGCCTGAATCAGGCCTCTGGAGGGCTGTGGAAGTGTCCCCCAGCCTCACATCTGGATGGCAGCAGCCTGGAAAAGGCCTCCGACACCTGGATCGGGCCTCCTGAGGCACATGGAAGTGCCCCCTGGCTTCAGTTCCATTCTTTGTTGCAGAGAACAGAGGCCTAAAGTACCATGAGATCACGCAAGATCAGTAGCATGAGATCTGGCGCCACTGATCTTGTGTGATCTTGCATTACTTTAGGCCTCCGTTCTTTGCAAACTCACTGAAGGCCTGGAGCAACCAAGAAAGCGAAGGATCTCGTTCTTCGCAGGGTGAGTATTGAAGGCCTAGTGCAGGCTCAGGAATTCTGGGAGTTGAAGTCCACGAGTCATAAAAGAGACAAGGTTGACTACCCCTGGCCTAGTGCCTAGGGCAGGGGTAGGCAACCTTGGCTCTTTTATGACTTGTAGACTGGCTCAGGAATTCTGGGAGTTGAAGTCCACAAGTCATAAAAGAGCCAAGATTGCCTACCCCTGGCCTAGGGAGACCCGGGGCAGGGGGGAAGGGAGGGAATAACCAGGGTGAATGTTGCAGTGCCACTGCGGTCGTTCATAAGGGTGAACAACTGTCGTGGTGTGGCAACATTTGTAATTCCGGGACTTGCTCGTAAGCACTAGGGGGCACTTATTGCGTAACTTTGAACGTTCACAATTCAGGGATTACCTGTACAACCACTATCTGAACTCCTTATGAGAGAGAAATTAAATAGCACTGGTTGTTTGCATGTTAGTTCTGCTGAAAACTGCTACATATTGACAGAAGCTATATCCAATGTTGCGCAGGACTAGCACCCTTTGCTTTAGGTTAGCAAATTTACTTAGGGACCATACCAAAAGTAAAAACTAAGTTCTACTGCCAAATATGTACAGGTAGTCCTGTTCATTTAGTGACCGTTCAGTTATAACGGCACTGAAAAAAGTGATTTACCACCATTTTCCTCAGTTACAACCTTTGTAGCATCCCCAGGATCATGTGATCAAAATTCAGATGTTTGGCAACTGGTTCATACTTATGACCGTTGCTGTGTCTCAAGGTCACGTGATCGCCTTTTGCAACATTCTGACAAGCAAAGTCAAGGGGGAAAGCCAGATTCACTTAACAACTGTGGCAAGGTCATAAAATGGGGCGAAACCCACTTAACAAATGTCTTAACAACAGAAATGTTGGGGTCAATTATCATAACTCAAGGACTACCTGCATAGACAATTATCTTCATTTACTATTTTTAAGAAGTCTGAAGATCACAAACAAAAGACTCATTAGTAATACAGAGTACAACACAGTTTAACAGAGCTAACCTTTCCATGACACTAGAGGTAGTCCTTGACTTATGACCAGTCGTTGAACAACCATTTGAAGTTATGGCAGTCTCAGAATGGTGCTTGACAGCCTGTAAAACACTTCTGGCTGTTGTAAAATATTTCACAGCACCCACTCATGGTCACATTGCCACATTTCAGCCACATGGCACCTGTTTGCACTTACAACCGGTTGCTAAACGCCCCATGAAAAATGGAGACTCCTGCCTGAAGACCTCCAAGGTCCCTTCAACTCTGTGATTCTAAATAGCTGAATATAAATTTGCAGATTTTTGTTTTGTCTGTGCCAATACCATTTTCCCTTCCAAAAGACAAGGTGTTCAAAACAGATGGCAGGTTACCCCATTAATGAACACAGTAGGAGGAAAGCTGCATTGGTCTATGATAATCCCAATCAGAATCGGTTCATTTGAAAAGGTATTAACAGATTCCGCCTGTTAACAAACTAATTGACATTTTTAAGGTCAGCCCCATACAGAGAACATTTTTAGAGCAGTTCTGGACATGAAAAATGCATGAAAGAATTGGTTTTCTCTTCTCTTGCAAGCAGATCAACTGACGGGGAAGCATCCAGTGTTGTCTATGATTATGAGACTATCAAAAACATTGATCCGCACGGGACAGATTTTTGTGTCAAAGTAAAGGATGGCATGCGCTATTGGAACATGACTGTCCAGTGGTGGTTGGCACAATACATCTACAAAAGCGCACCGTTCCACTCCTACGTCCTGAGGTGCGTCAAGTGACATTGGATTCAAATAAAGTGTTGTTGAGGGCAAGAAATAGTCTTTGAAGAGGAAGTGATAGGCTGGGCTTGAAGGTGAACTTGGAGGCGCGCGGTCAGTTGGATTGGCATGAGAGTAAGCTGTAGAAATCTTGTGGAAACAAGGATTCTGGGACAGGAGCCACTTGTTTTGAAGGCTCATGGTGAACACTGGGCAGATTTGGGACGAGACAGAGTAACGACCTGCTATTAGGGAAGGAATAAGTCAGAAAATCTAAGTGAGACTCTTGCTTGAGATAAACGCTACAAGACTATGGGACTGACTGAGTCACAGTTCATAAATTAAACAAATGTTGCATCATCACCCTTTCCCATCTTTGGTGACTCTATAGGGATTTCAGCTCCCATTGTTCTCAAGCCAACATAGATTGACCGGGATCTTGAAGTTCAAGACTTCTGTAGCTAAATTTAATAAGAGCCATAGCAGAGTTGGAAATGATCAGCAGGCATTTGAAGGATTTGGGGATAGGTGGGTGCTTGGATTGCTTGAGGGGATGAATAGAGGTCTGACCAGGCTCTTTTCTTTTCAGGAGTGCCTGGACAATGCTTATCTCGGCCTACTGGCATGGGATCCACCCTGGGTACTACCTCAGCTTCCTTACCATCCCGCTCTGCTTAGCAGCTGAGGGAGCCATGGAGAGTGGATTCTTGAGGCACCTCTCCCCGTCGGGGCGTCTTTGGGGTGACTGGATACAGTGGTTCCTGAAGATGAGGGCTTATGACTACATGTGTATGGGTTTTGTGTTGCTTACCTTTGAGGATACCATTCACTATTGGAGCTCAGTCTATTACTGCATCCATGTGGGAGCTGTGGTTTTCCTCATGCTGGGAACAGTGTTGGGGGCCAAGAGGAAATGGGGCTCCCCAAAAGGCAAACAGGGTGCTTCAGAGAACCCCCAGCAGCAGGAATGAGAGGGCAAAGTGATGTTGCCATAGCAAGGAACCCTATCATAGGCCCCGGAGGCTAAGGGAACAAATAAGACTCCGTTTAAGTTTTAATTTTGATATATGTCATGACTAGGTGGGGATTGAAGGAAGTAATCCGAGATTGAACTCAGAAATCCCTACTTTTGGTCTGCTTTGTGACAAGGTGATTTGGACATCCTAAAAATATTGCCACCTAGGCTATTCTACTCAACACCAGGGGATTCTGAGGAAACGTCTCCAAATCCTAACTTCTAACCCAGTGTTTCTCAGCCTCAGCAATTTTAAGATGTATAGACTTTAACTCACATGCTGGCTGGGGAATTCTGGGAGTCTGAAGTCCATCTTAAAGTTGTGGAGGCTGAGAAATACTGTTCTGACTCTCTCTTTTGTTAGTTTCTTTCTGGCTTTCACTCTGTTTCCATACAGTTTGGAAATTTTACTTCTGACTCCTCTCTAATCTTGGGAGGTTTGTTTTTTTGTTTTTGTTTTTAATGTCCAAACCTCAGCCATTTTATAGCATAAAGTAAAGGAATTACACCCAACTGGCTGTTATGGAACTATAACTCCCAAGAACTCCAGCCAAATTTAACCATATTATAGGCAGTGGAATTTATACTATAGCTGCACAACATCTGGTGGATCACACATTCTCCGTCTTTTAACTAGTAGAAATTTTTAATACGCATTCTGTAACTAAGTGGTCCTTGTTTCTCACTGTTGTTTTTATTTTCTTTAAATGTTATAAATATCTGGACATTTAGTGAGATTTCTTGAAAGGGTGAATTTGGGACTTTGTCCTTGGGTAGATAAAAGATGAGGCTGTCATATTTGAGCTGCAAAAATCAGGATGGTCACTAGAGGATAGCTCCCATCTAATGGTCATCCAGATTTTGGCAACTCAAATATGGTAATTATATACAGGCTCTAAGATTTAACCAAAAAAAAAAAGCTCCATCCTAATGTTTTTGATCATTTGTACAGTGAGGATGTGCAAAAATGTGTTAGGTCTCACAGAATCTTGAATCGGTGACCCTTTTGCTCAAAGAGGTGAGATTCTGGAATGTAAGAAGATTTTTACAGGGCTGGAACCTGTTACGTAAAAGTGACGGAAATACAAAGGTTAGTTTGCTAATGTATAGGTACAGGTGGGCTGGTGAACAAGTGAAGAAATCAGATGTTGCACACAAAGACTGTCATATTTAAGTATGATAATGTTGAGCATAAGGAACAAATGCATGTTTGATTTTTTTTAGCCATGATATTTGGGCTAAAAAAAAAATAAAACTTTTTAGGGCATATAGGGCTGTGTCTTATGGGACCTAAAATGTATGCACTGAGTATAAAAGGGTGAATTTCAGTTTAGAAAACATAAACAAATATATTAACTACCAGAAAAATGATTACTCAGGTAATATGTTTATGTCTTGAGAAAACTATACATGAACCTGCTTGTGTTTGTATTATTTGGTCCAAGCAAGTATTTTATTGGAAGGTACTTGGAAAATAAAAGCTTTTAAAAAAAAAAACACACACACACACAAAAACCTTTTTCTTTTGCACCATTACATCTTATTAGTCCTGAACAAAGCAGCAGAAGATACACATTGAGTATGAGAAGAGTAGTCTCCTATCCCTTACTACAAGGAATTGGATTTCAAGTGTCTTCTTTCCATAGAACTAACCATCCTCTGTAATGTGAAACAATCTCAAACGTCTATAGCAGTTCGTTTCTTTCAACTATCACACTTTCCTGCCTCATTTAGTAAATCAAAAATATGCATTGCAATTTTTGTTTTGCTCAAACCAAATCCACCCCACTGAGATCTTACATCCTGCTCACCTCAGCTTTCCTTCTGAAAGCCAGCAGAATTACTTCTTCATCAAGGTGAATTCATCTCGGGTTCTCCATCTGGTTAGTCATAGGGTGACCCCCATCAGGATATTTTGAAGGACGTTTAATGCTTTACTTATTAAAGCTTCTGGGCTGCTTAACACGTAATCCCCACACCCCAATAATATATAAATCTGCGCTCAATGGTGTGAGTGGCACAGAAAACAGAAAGAAGGGGGGAATGGCTAGACCAGGGTTAGGCAACCTCGGCTCTTTTATGACTCATGGACTTCAACTCCCAGAATTCCCGAGTCAGCATAGCTGACTCGGGAATTCTGGGAGTTGAAGTCCATGAGTCATAAAAGAGCCGAGGTTGCCTACCCCTGGGCTAGACTGATACTATATACCACATACAATAACAATTTCCAAAAAAACCCACTTCAAACACTTGTTCACACTTCCATTCCTGAAGCTGCTTATACTTTTCAAAAGAAATGTATGAAAGTGAAATTTTTATGTTTGTATAATTTTACAATTATACAATTGTAAATGTCAATTCCTGGCAAATAGATGGGGAAGAAATGGAGGTAGTGACAGATTTTATTTTCCTGGGCTCCAAGATCACCGCAGATGGGGACTGCAGCCAAGAAATTGAAAGACACTCCTGGGGAGGAAAGCTATGGCAAATCTAGACAGCATACTAAAAAGCAGAGACATCACCCTGCCAACAAAAGTGCGTATAGTCAAGGCCATGGTTTTCCCAGTTGCAATGTATGGCTGTGAAAGTTGGATCATAAGAAAGGCTGAGCGCCAAAGAATTGAGGCCTTTAAGCTATGGTGCTGGAGAAGACTCCTGCGAGTCCCCTGGACTGCAAGGTGATCAAACCGGTCAGTCCTAGAGGAGATCAACCCTGACTGCTCTTTAAGAGACCAGATCCTGAAATTGAAACTCAAATATTTTGGCCACCTAATGAGAAGGAAGGACCTAATGCTGGGAAAGATTGAGGGCAATAAAAGAAGGGGACGACAAAATGAGGTGGCTGGATGGAGTCACTAAACAGTAGGAGTGAGCTTAAATGGACTCCAGAAGATGGTAGAGGACAGGAAGACCTGGAGGAACATTGTCCATGGGGTCGCGATGGGTCAGACACAACTTCACAACTAACAACAACACAATTATACACACTTCCCTGGGTACAGCGTTAATGTATTGTTCCTAAAAGAATTGTCCTATCTCCTTGTTCCTACTGCTCACAATTGGAGTGTATGAAATCAAGGGAATGATACAGCTGGATAATCTGCAGCCATGGAAGAAGATTTGAGGAGGTGAAGCAGGTACTCGGGCACCATTTTTTTGCTGCTTTAATTTGGGAGTGGCTCGTGACAAAAAAAAATCTCCAGCATTTTCTTTTTTTCAGCAAGATTCCTCCACCACCAATGCTGTCTTCTCTGATCTTGAATTATTATGCTCTCTGCAGACAATACTAGGAACTGATAGTTCTATGATTTTGATTAAATGTGAAAAGCTTTTCTGCATGCATGGTTGCAGAACAACTTTTTAATACCCTGAGGAAACTTGTTTGGGAAATCATTCCATTTGCATATCTGAATCCTTTTACATAGGAATGTCCTAGATAGAATATGACAAAAGGGTCCCAGGGGCAGCTGGCCTGTTCTCCTCTCCATCGCATGATGTTGTCACAGAGGGTCTGCCAAAGCTTGAAAAAATCTTATGAGTTAAATCTTGAGTTAAATCTTGCTGGTCTGTGGCCATAGTCATGACCACAAAAGATATTTAAAGGGGTCCATGGTGAATAAAAGGTTGAGAACTGCTTTAGATGACAGGGATCACAACTAACTCAGAGGGGGAGGTGATGGGGACTGAGTGGGCTGGATGGTGAAGTACCATGGGTGAGGTTAAGACACAAACATGGCTGAGACCAGGATATTTCAGGATCTTACAAAATGCCTATATGACGGTTACACCATTCCCAGGATTGTCTGACCAGATGTCATGCACATATATGGGGCAGGATATCAAAGCTGTCTGAACTGGGGCTCAGAGTTGCTGCTTCCTTCTTCAGCTCTTGCTACCCTCCCCATCCATATTTGTGAAATGAGGCCAAGCCAGAGTGTTTTCTACTCTGCACTGGATAATACTGATTCTGATGATAATTCTTCATGACTGCCCACAACCACATGACACCAAGAGCACCTCCACTGGCATTTGTATGCCCACATGTTCCCTGACAAAATATAGAGGAGACAAAGCATTTGTGTTGCCTGGAGCATGAATGCAGGCCGAGCACCACCATTCAGCACGTTGCCCCTTCCCCCTCAGCTATCTAGGTATCCTCTTGTCAAAAGAATTAGTCTTCATATTTCTCTAAGGCTTAATTGTTTGCTTTTTGTTTTGATTCAAGGAATTGGGAGCAAGGGAGCACTTTGTCCTTTCCTGGATTATAAAATACTTGGGTGGCCTTGAGCTTTTGAGAAAAGAGCATTCTGCTCATGAAGAGTTCTCATCTCTGTAGTAAAATTCATCATCATCATCATTTTAGCCATTGTCTATCCACTGCAGGATGAAGATATCTTCCGCATGTTTCCAGCCATATACGGTCCCGAGCTTTCTTTTGCCAATTGGGCCCGCCATGCTTGCTGATGTCGCCGATCCATCTTGTTTTAGGTCTTTTTCATGGTCCACCTGCCCTCAGTTCTTGCTATGTGATCAGCCCATTTCCATTTCAATTCTTTTACTCTCTTGATGATATCGTATACTGTTGTTTGTTCTCTAATCCATGTGTAGGTCTTTCTATCTTGTCTTGTAATGCCGAGCATGTATCTTTCCATGGCTCTTTGTACCATGTAGTAAAACTAAATGGCATTAAAATTGATTCCTGTCAAAAGTTACTGTATATAGACATGTGTTGATCAGGCTGGGACTGTGAAAGTATGGGATGCCTCTATTGGCAACTCCAAATGCTATCTAAGCATTGCTTTTCTGCTGAAAGTTAAATATAGCAACTGATTTATTTATATTTTGGCAAAGGGAGAGGCCCTCCATCTAGGTTTACAGCCTGCACATTCTAATTTGGGTGTCAAACTACCAGCCCGTGGGCTGGATGCGTCACGCGGAAGCCGCACCCACCCCAGTTCCGGCAATGGGAAAAAAGTCGTGATACGTCGCAACATGTCACGTGATGCAACAAGTTTGACACCTCTGTTCTAACTGCAGGAAGTTCTTGTTTCTTTTTTTTAAAGTTTTATTATTATTATTTTTAACAGAGTTCAATAATTATTCAACAAAAACGTGTTGTCTGAGTATCTTATTCACTAATACAAATTAAATTCCTAATCCCTAAATCTTTTCTCTAACCATTGATAAAATAGGTCCCAAGTTTGAAAATATTCTGTTTCTTCTTTTTCTTTCA